AATATTAAAATTTATTTTTTGCTGTTTTCATGCCGTGTTTTAATGTCACGGCAATCAACAATTTACAATTGGTTGTTATTTAAAAATCCCGTAATCTAAGCGCATTCAACAAAATTTTAATTTCCATAACAGTTTTTCCAAACTTGGATCCATAATAACTTAGTTCCAGGAGTTCGACGATTTGATGCTGAAAAACTGATACCACCCAAGGCCATTTTGTTCTCTTAGATAACTGTTCAGTCCATCATCTAAACGATGAACTCAAAAGTCATGATGGGTTGATCACAATGCACTTTCTGCCTGCCAACGTAACCGCTGTAATTCAGCCGATGGATCAACATGTGATCCAAAATATTAAACTACAGTACCGAGAAAAGCTCTTGTTCCATGTGATGGCTCGCGACAAGGATAACAACACACATTAATGACTGAAGCAGATCTCGTTGAAAGAAGTCTGTATTTGGGTACATGGGCAATGTGATTCAGGAAGCATGAATGAAAATTGGAGCATTGGTTGGAGGAAAAATTGTTCATGAACAATGGCGCAACTAATAGGCTGGAAACTTGTGATGAATGATCAGCAGGTGATCAATGAAGAACAGCCAGAAGATCCGGAGTAAAATGAGTCTCATATCTTGGAATTCAACCAGTAAATCCAGGAGCAGCATAGAATTAATAAGAATGTTCGATAAAATAATTGATTAAGCTGAAGCATCTATGTTATTTATCCCCGTCGAATACAAGAATTTGTGATAACTAAATATCTTGAACATTTAAAGTCAGTCAAAACTTTTATGAACAATGCATTTTTATTACAATATGTAATGCTATTTTTTATCTAAGATTAAATGTTGTTGACAATGAAACAATGTTTTTTTATTACAATAGCAAAGAAGACATAGGTTTCCATGGTAAAAATTATGTTACCAGCAAACAGCAGTTCAAAACTAATAACTCCTAGTTGGGAAACAGGGAGTAAAATGTACAATTGATCTTTTAAACGGTTAAATTATATGCATAGGCATAGTCAGAGGGGGGCAAGGGAGGGCAGCTGCCCCCCCTAAACCCACCAACACAAAGGCTTTCGGTGAAATGGCGTTCGGTAAAATGGTATTCAGCCAAATTATCTATAGAATTTTTTTTCGCCCCTCCCTAGCTCGAAACGTGGCTACGCCCTTGCCCACCAGTAAATTGAGCTACTTGACATTTCATTATCTTGCGTCGTTTTCTGGTGTGCTCGTATGGATTTCATTCCGGATTTCAAACATGAAAAAAGAGAAATAAAATTGTTGTAAAATATAGAGAAAAATCATGGATTCAATAATCGAGAAACTGCGGGAAACCGGTGTAGGGGCTCAAGAAATGTTCCGTAATTAAAATTTCTCATTAAAATTGTTTGTTTTAGCTGTACAAATCTGAAGTTAAAATGGCGGACCCTCCAATTAATTGCATGTCCTGTACCCGGATTTACGAAGGGCTTGAGTCGCCACGTAAATTGGAATGCTCAAAGAGGCGAGTTATCCACAGATTTTTGTCATTATGACTGCACTTATGCTCGATGCCAAATGCAAATCAAAATTTGTCAAGTTTGATTCGTCACATTAAGGAAATTCATCAACCGGTTGAACCATCTAGCGCGTAATTCCTTGTTTACTGATTTTTCCGATGACCTTAATTCCGATGACGTATAATTTCTAACCTCCATTTCCTCACTCAATACTCATTTTTCTGCAACGATTTTTTTTAAACCAACCGTTGAATAAGTTGATTTATATTTAGATTTAGATCGCGAATTGGTTGATTTTCGGGATGTGAAAGATTGAACATAGAATTTAATTTGGAAATCTTGAAGTTGAAAAAATTGAGGCGCAGAGAAAAATGTTCAAAGTCTTAGACAAATTTTAAATCCATTTTAAAAATCTAGAATCTGTAAAACTTCGAACATAGACAAATTTTCATGTTCTGGAACGAGAAAAATTTTCTCGAAAAATCTCGATCTCGAAAAGTTGTAAGATTCTGGCACAGACAAACAGACATAACATATTGAATATTTCTCATCGTAAAACATCGTCGCTAAAACATTACCGCCATCTGTTGCGTACACTGTGGTGGTAGTACGCTGAACAGATGGCGGTAGTGAGTAAACGTCAAATGCAAGGGAATCTACTATGCGCGCCACAGGTGGCAGTACTACCAACTGAGATACTTTCAAATTGACTGTTAAATGATTGCTCGATGAACAACTTATGAGTGTTATGTCTGTTTGTCTGTGATTCTGGTATACATTTTAGAGCTATTGGACATTTTTTTGCTGGTACTAGGTAATTCGCGATCTTTAATTCAAACAAATTAAGAAAGCGTAGAATAGTTGACGGTATGTAAAAATATGTTAACAGTTCGAGAAAAATGTAATGTTTCTAAAATATAGAAAAGATTTCATGCTTTTAAACATAAAATTTATCTAAAATCTGGGATTGGAAATTTGTTGATTCCGGACTTGTAGAAAATACAATTTTATGGGCTTGGGAAAGAACTTCTGAGAAAAAAGGAGATTCTGCTGCATGATTTATCGATGTTTGCCGATACTAAAGCTTCCGGCTTTCAAAGATTTATCGAAATGCAGGTCTTTGAAAAAATCTCTAGCGCTTGGAAAGTTTCCTAAACCATTTTTCAACAAATTAGGCTCGGAAAACTTTCAAGTTGATGAAGAGATATCGGAACCAGAGTTCATCTTTTCGAAACCTCAGAAAATTTGTGATATCTCGAGATCATATACAATGGAAAAAAATGTATATCCTATTTTTTTTTTTCGAAGATAACGGACTTGAAACAAATACAGTCTGGCCATTCTATTTAAGAATTTAAAAGTCTGTTGTTTTGTTTTGTTTTCAGTTGTCTAACCTAGTTTTCCCAGTTTAATTGAAACAGTTAAATATGGTAAAATACCCCAAGTACCATCACAAGTTTTATCGCATAATAAAACCCAAATCCTTACTTGAAGCATAGATTATTATTTCGCTTAACTGTTAACCCTAAAGAATGTGATATGTGGTAAGGTCAAAATATGTTATTCTCAATTGGGGATTGGAATTGAGAATAGAAATAAAAGGAAATTCCAATAATGGTTTTTGAAATAATCTTTAAAGAATCTTTACAGCGGCTGATTTGAGAATACTTATAAAAATTTCAAGGAAAGTATTTTTTATTTATAGTAATTTTCACACTCTCGGACCATTCGTGCTTTATCAAGGTGAGATTTGCACTCATGATTTCGGAGTGAGAGGTATGGATTCAGATCTTTATGTTTTACAGACTAACCTCGATATTCAAAGATGTCCTCATTTTGGTATCTGGTTAGCACACAGTGCAGAAATTAATGTTTAATTTATCTCTTTGTCCGGTGTCGAACATTTTCATGCCAAACATGATCGGAGTTTGCAAGGAGTTTGAGACGGCATGAATCTGCTTCTCTATCTTGAAGTAGCTAGCTTCGTAACAGGATATGTCTCGCTCAGCCTTTATACTAGAGCTACTTCAATCGGAAAACTGTAGCCAAAGAATTCAAGCAATGACACCATATGCCACCTTATGGAATTCTATAAATTTAGTTATCGTAGCAACGATAAAACCACCGCTTGATCAGGGCGCGAACAAATTGCGAGTGAGAGAAAGGAATAATATGAAACTTGTAAGCAAGAGAATATAATGGTGTATGTGATATAAAGTTGATTGATTCCAAGGATTCTTCAAGACCAAATTATGGTCTACAAGACTAATATAAAATCAAAATTGTTACTTAGGATGAGTTAGAGATGAACTAGCCTAAGGCTAAAAATCTCTTTAATAAAGAATCAAAAAAAAAAAAAAAACGGTGCAATTTGGGTTTTGCCGCATTTTTCGCGGTAAATTCGAATTCCCGGTTTTTCCCGGATTTCCCGGTTGGATGGACACCCTGTAAGATATGTTATTTATATTTATTTAGGGTGGAGAACGGTTTCAGAGTCCCCCCCCCCCCCCATGGATTATCTGCCAAATTAACGCGAACGCACGGCAACCGGATGCAATTTGCGTGGCCCTTGAGACTCCATAGATTTTCCAAGCAATTTTGTTTTGTCATTGTCCACTAGTAGGATAAGTGCAATAATTTTAAACATTTTTTTAACTTCAATCCTTTGATTCAATCAAAAATGACTCGAAAATTACCAGGCTAAAAATTCGCTTTCAGGTAATCAACATCAATCGTGTCTTCAGAAGAACAGACCAGGGTCAACAAATAATGGAGTCCTTGAAGCAAGGAAGTAAGCCTAACGGCAAGGTTTTTACGAAAATAAAAAAATATGTGTTGTGCGATTTCCTTAGATCAACGTATGGGCCGTAAGTTCAAGCTGTTAAGTTCCATTGTTCCTATGCTTAATCAATTTTTACTTTTCCAGGCGTCCTTCAGCATTTCAAAAAAATCTCATGATTTTGCGATCAAGCAATGCCGATGTACCTCAAACACTGTGGTTTCACCAACATGCTCGAGGCCAACATAGACATACTGGCAGGATACATTATCATCTTGAGTATCTCATTCGTAAATCCACAGATAGAAAGATTATCCGCTGCAAATCCACGGATGAGAAGGCAATCAAAATTGAATCTTCTGACACGATGGATAGTGAGGATCCTGCTGAGAACGTTGAAGAATTTGTTAATTTGTTGTATCTTGTTTATCGTTAGTAGCTACACAGAAAAAAACAGACGAGACACTGTGATTAATGTTCTGGTTCAGATTATCTTCTTCATATGCATGGAACTGAGAGCTTTCAACATTTCAGCATTAAATAGTCTTTCATATAAAAATTGCATAGAAACGGGGACGATGTGAGTTAAATTTCAGTATTGGTGTTCACACAAGGGTTTTTCGAGTTTATTAACCAGTTTTTTTTTACTTAAATATAGGAATAAGTGTGTCTTTAATCTGTTTCTCAGTGATAGTAACGTTTTTTAGACACGTCATGGCTCTTTCTGCTTTAATTTATTTTTTTCTATTTCTACGGCTTTATCATAATGCTCCAGATTTTTGGCGAAATTTTGTGGATTTACAAACCAGGGTTTTGAAGACTTACTCAGCTATACTTAAGCATGTTCAAAGCGGTAATGATAATCGAACGATTTTTTTTTAATTTAATTTAATTGAAAACTATTTATAGTTACTATCAGAACACTTGGGATTATGCGTCTGAAAAATCCAAGTCGTGGAATGAAGTGGACCATAAATGGCACTGATGACAACAATCCACTAAGTGGCATCGTCGAATGGATTCACATTTGTGCTTTCAAAAATGTTCTCATTATTACTGGATTTTGTTCCATTTCTATGGTTTTACTCAATCATGAAGTACCTACCTATTTTTATATTTTTCCCATTTTTTACAGCATGATGAACCGATCCCGATCGTCAAAAGCAACAACCCCATACTCTACATGAGAGGAAATTTTCCGGAGGACAACTCTGATGCAGTAATTTCATGGAAAGGCATCACCATTCCCATCAACAAAGATTTTTCATATAGTTTTGAGTTGATCTGCCAATCCATTGTGATTTAGCTGGAATTAAGCCAACTGACAAATAGTTTTTTGTCTCTTTAATGGCGACGATAATGGGAGTCAACACCCTCACCACTACGGGAGAAAAATTCTACATACCTAAACATATAAACGCAAAGTGCTGTGGATTGTGAGATGCCCGATTACCCTGGAGGGATCGTTTCTGCTTACTGTGTAGAAAATCGCGGGTTCAATCCCAAGCTCTCCATCATAACTCTTAAGGGGGGAAATATAAGTAAATTTTTTTTTCAACGATTTTTATATTTTACTTTAATTTTTTTTTTAAATGCTACGAGCACGACGAAGAAGTGATCTATGGCCCCGGTATCGCCGATTAACCGTAAGTTCCAGAAATCATGTTTTTACACAACCCAAAACTTTAAACGCGTTTTTCTCGAAACGGTGTTCTCCAAATTGGCGGGAAAGATAACTCAAAAAGTTCTCATCCAAATGACTTGAAACCTGGCGCATCTTAAAGGAAATAGATTTTTGATCTATGTGAACCACTGATATCAATAATAAATAATTTTCAGGTCTGCCTAAAGTGGAAAAAAAACAGTGAAAAATTATGCGGTTAATCATTTTTTTTGGGTTTTAGAACAAAAATCTTTTCTGAATAAAGTTCAATTGATAAAAGTAAGTTTTGTTCATTTTTCAGGTCTCTAGAACGCCCGTCAATTACCAATCCCCACCGGAGGCGACCTCCTTCCGATGTGATCCCAAAGAGCCACAGAGATCACACACCAATGAAAAAAATCTCAAATGTAGAGGAAGATTTAAGCAATTTAATGCAAAAAACCCCAAACGTTTGCGTTGTTTCATTTGCTCACCAAAAATTCCGAAAATTGTCGAGTTTTTGACGTCTTACTTGTTTTCCCCCCTTATGGGGAGGTTTACTTGGATTTTTTCAAAAAAAATTATTTTTTTGTATAAAATGAAAGCTACAAGTGTGTAGAATATGTGGCCAAAAGGATTTTACGATCCGAAACATATTTAGCGAGTTATGGCGCTTTGAGTGAACCTTTGTCATGCGCGCTGAGGGACGCAACAAAAACTTTAAACGCGTTTTTCTCGAAACCATATTTTTTATAACAACTTAGAGCATAGGGCTTGAACAAATGATCCGATTTACAATCGGAAAATTGCGCTTTGAAGGATACTATTTTTTGTTATTTTTATACCTAAAATGAAAAAAATTGTTAGTTACTATTTTTTTAAGCAAGGTCAAAGTGAGAAAAAAAGGGGTAAAAAAGCACTAAATTTTCAAATGTCCATAATTTGGTCAATTTTTGTCGGATTTCGTTCTAGTTAGGTATAAGCCATAGGAAATATTATCAACTTGAACCACAATAAAAAAATTTCATTTCAGTTCACCACCAGAGGGTGTGCACTCGAAGATCTGCAGCAAAACCTGACTGACACTCCTCCACGCGAGCCGCCATTTTGAGCCGCCATTTTGTTTTTTTACCTTCAAAAAATTTCCAAGTATTCAGGAATAGTGGACAAATATAATTATCGAAACCGGAAGTTCGTATGTCTTTTCATTCTCCTGAAAAAAAATTCCAAAGTTCAACTGTTTTTCAGCCAAATCCAAGTAAACCTCCCCTTAATATACATTATCACAAAACAAAATGAAAATTTTCTTTCGATAGTCGGCTATCGGGAGATTAAATGAGCAACACATAAACAATATATACTTTTGGTTGCATCGCCAACTTGAGGCAAATCCTAACCAACTACCCTACCCAACCCCTCCAACTCCGTAGCACTTATGAGGATGTCGCTAAGTCGGTGGTCTCTCGTTAGGTTATCAACAACTCCTTCCCTAACCTTCCTGGCGTCGGTAGCATTGGTGCTCAGCACGGAAAACAAGATCGACGAAAAACAAATCAAAGAAAAAAAACTGTTTCAATCGTGATCAAAATTATCACCGATTGCCTACCAAAAGCGCTTTCCCTAACACAGATTTCAAAATCGCTTATTCAATCACCGTGTGTGGTGTCTGGTCGACAACATACAGCTCGCCAGCCTCATCCGTGTTGAACAACCTAATAGCTCAGTATTACTCAACCACAACGACAAAACGGTTCTATTCAGGACCACCATAAATTATTGTTGTTAAAGAGTTAATTTTCATTGAACGTTCTCTCGCCTTGCTGCCAGCCAGGTCACCCCCAAAGCTCTTTTATAATGTACCCAGCAACCAAACGTTTGTGGTCAAAAGCGTAATAACAGTACCAACGTAAGTGGTACACAAAAATTCTCGCAATGACCGAATACCACACGACCTTGTCAATTAACCAGAAACACTTCGAATTAAGGTGAGGTTTTCTCCAGGACGCTAGAAAAAACGAAAAAATCCCGAATTTATATGATTGACCGCGAATATCTCGCGATTGGAAAATTTTAGCAAGAAATTCCTCCAATCAATTTATGCTTTTCTTTTTCGCAGGATTACGTCTTTCGGCAACATATTGGGGGTGTAAAAGCGGATGGATTTTAATTTTAAACAAGCCAATCGACAGGAATTTTTTCTACGGAGCTGCTAAAATAAATGCTTTATCAATTTTCAATAGTTCACTATTTAAAAATACACAAATGTCCAACTGTTGCAATGGTTACCTGCAAAAGGGGTTTCCCTAACACAGTCGCCAAATATAGATACCGAGCCAGTAATCCTACGCCAAATTTACGGTTGTGTCTAGGATACAATCTCTTAGTTTTTTTTTATTTGTTTTCCGTTGATCTTGTTTTCCGTACTGAGTACAAATGCTACCGACGCCAGGGAGGCAGCTCCCACACTTGAACCTTACCTATCGACCCATCAACTCATGGACCGGGGATCAACGGCTTTACTTCCCTTCCGAACCTATAGCCTATAGGCCTTTTGGGATGAGACGCAATCACGCTTACCACTACACCACCGGCGCCGCTAACAGTTTCTTATTAATGCACGGCGGATTTCACGATTTTGCGGATTTGAACTTTCAGTCGCGAAAATCGCGGAAACATTATTAAATGATGTCGCGAAAATCGCGAAGGGACTGATGTGCTGTCACAAAAATTGTGGTATTCATTGTAACCTTTCATTTGGCTCTCATTTTTTTACCGCTTCAAACCAAACACCCTGCAAATAATCGAGAAATGATCTCAATTCCATAACTCACACACCAGATTTACACGGAAATTCCCTGGGGTTTGTCCAATTTGAGACATTTTTATGTTTCTTTTTATTTCCAATATGAACATAGCATTTTTCATTGTCAAATCATTAACGAATCGTATATATGCGAGTAATTGCCATGTATACCGGATATTCTAGGTTCTCCAAATCGTCCTGGAGTTCAGTTTATTTTTTTTTACTATATCAACCAAGACTGCAATAATGTCTGTGGTATCGAAATATGCCCAAACAGATTCAAAGTGTCTATGTGGATCGTGCCCAACCTATTGCTACGTATACAAGATGTTATAGGTTCTGAAATCATTCTGGAGATCAGATTATTTTTCTACTAGATCACCCAAGACTAATTCAATGTCATTAGTATCGAAATATGTCCAAACAAATTTGCAGTGTCTATCCTGCCAACCTATTTCCGTGTATGTCAAATGTTCTAGGATTTCCAAATCGATATTTCGATACTACAGATATTATCCTAGTATTTGTTGATCTATAGGCTTATATGTGGGCTTTTGTATACAATATTTGCTACATTGCATGAAATGTCTCAGAACTTTACATGATTTATAATGTAAACTTATATGATATGTGACGCTCCATTTATGTGCATCATATTCAACAGAAATTTACACTACTTTTTCGAACTGTATAGTAAAACAAATCATCTGAAATGCAACACAATTTGGAGAGCCTAGATCATCTGGTATACGTGGAAATAAATCATACATTATCCATATGGACACTGTGCATCTGTCTGGAAATATTTCGATACTAAAGACATTGTCCCAATCTCGGTTGATCTAGTAGATCAAATTATCTGAACTCCAGGACGATTTGAAGAATCTTGAACATCTGGATTACTCGGAAATAGATCATACATAATCAACATAGACACTTTGACTCTGATTGCACATTTTTCGATACTACAGACATTATTGCAGTTTTGGTTGATCTAGTAGAACAAATCAACTGATGTCCTGGACGATTTGGAAAATCTATAACTTCCGGTATACATAGTAATAAGTCGTTCATGATCCAAAAAGTCACATTTATACGATTCGGTTATGATTTGACAACAAAAACGGCTAGGTTCATATTAAAAATAAAAATAAAAATAGAATATCATGAAAATATCTCAACATTGGACAGACCCCAAGGATAATCCGTGTAAATATAGAGCCTCGACGTGACCAATAAGTGTGACTTATGAAACACTGGTAATTTCTCGATTATGTGCAGGGTGTTTGGTTTAAATCGGTAAAAAAATGAGAAAACTAGAGCCTACCTACAACATTTAGGACAGCAAAAAACGTCAGGGACGCAAAAGTTAATGTTCAAGAAAAGTTGCATTTCAAATAATAGTATAATAGCAGTTTTTATTTGAAAATTTACGTGCTGCAAACATTTTTTTACTATTATGTACCTATGTTAATTGGGTAAGGAAGAATTTTGAGAAATGTGAAATTTAAAATCTCAAAATTAAGCTGAAATGAAAATTATTAGTACTGCTATTATCTTGAACAATTTTACCTGTTGCCTCAATTTCCCGCAGGTACTTTCAAAAATATAATTTTTTTTTTTTGGTTTGTTTTTTGTCGATCTTGTTTTCCGTGCTGAGCACCAATGCTACCGACGCCAGGGAGGCTGCTCCTACACCTGGACCCTACCTATCGATCCATCAAATCATGAACCGGGGACCAACGGCTTTACTTCCCGAAGAAAGGCGTATTCAGAGATGTTATGCCTCGGAACATCCCGGCGGCGTCGACTGGGATTGAACCCAGGCCTTTTGGGGTGAGAGGCAATCACGCTTACCACTACACCACCGGCGCTGCTGTAAATTTAATATTTTGTAATCGTAAAATTGAACATCGTTAACGCGAACGTTTCAGCTCAATTGATCATAAGTTAACAAAGTTACATAATTCATTTTTTTTTTCAAAGGTTAC